TAAACGGGTGCCCAAATGAAAAAAATATATATATTAATGTTTACCTTTTTGTTAATTGAATATTCTAAAGTTAGCTGTTCTAAGACAAGGGATTTGCTGTAATATTTTATACTAATCTTGCACTTTAACAGCTACTGGGCAAACTTGGTAAACCACAAGACATGTGTGGTAAACTGGTTATCCTAACTGAGATATCGGATGTGTAGTAGCAAGGTTCACTGTTGCACTTCTTCAACTTTATTGTATTCTTCAATAAAGCTTGCAAACGGAACTGCATGTTTCTAAAGAACAATCACCCACTCTTAAAGAAATTCATCTTCTCCTTATTAATAAACTTGCATGTTTAAAAAGTGAAATTTGTGTTTATATGCTCCTGTGTTACGTGTCTGAGACAGGTCTCTATCATATAAAAAACAAAAATTGATTTTCAGTAGATGGAAATTTATGGTTACTTTAATACAGGAAGTATATGTTAAAAGAGATTTACTACATCGTGAACTGCTATTTTTAATTCTAAGACAACTTGTTTAACGGTTTCTTCCAAGGAGAATATCCTAGGGATGACTTCTAGCATGATCTGTATTTCTTGTTACAATTAATTTTTTACAGCACACCACCTAGGAACTTAGATAAGAGAACAACAATCACTATTGATGATAAAGTGTTTGAAGTGGAAGCAGATGACTTGGAAACTTTGTGCACGTTGGGAAGAGGTGCATATGGTGTCGTCGAGAAAATGCGTCATAGGCCTAGTGGAACCATTATGGCTGTAAAGGTATAGTCTAGTTTTTCACAAGCTGATAACATTCAGTTATATTGGGGATATTTAACTTTAGAAATAATTCAATAAATGTTTAACGTTTGTTTTTCTTTCCACAGAGAATTACGGCTACTTTCAATAGTCTTGAAGAAAAGAGGTTACTGATGGACTTGGACATCTCCATGAGAAGCAGTGACTGTCAGTTCACTGTACAGTTTTACGGAGCCCTATTCCGAGAGGTAGAAGATTATTATTAATGTTGTTTTTTCAACTAATCCTAAACATTGTCATTTCAAGATGTGACTGATTGTTTTTAATATGCATTCTTAATTTAAAATTAGGTTTATGTATTTTCCCAATGATGTAGGAGCTGTCTTAGTGATAAACAGTATTAGGTGATATAGTGTAGTTAGTTCTCACCACATCAAGAATTTAAATATTTTTGTCAAAAACTCGCCCGGTTCAAGTATGTAAAATAGGATTTATTCAAAGACTGTGTACAACATCTTTGTAGCCATTGGCCACAGGATTTTGATATTTTTTCATTCATTGTTGATTTCATATTTTACTTGTTAGTTTTTATGATTGTATACCAAGGTAAGCACAAGTACCATGTTTTTGTACGTGATATTTTTAAGCCTTTCCCAACTAGCAGATATTTAACTCATTCAATGTGTGTACTGACAAATAAACTTTCCAAATTTAAGCATATTTATGGTTCTGTGTCAACAATAATAAAACGTTGTATAATGCTTATCTAAATTTCTTCATAAAAGAATTTCTAGAAGTCTAAACTATAAACATGCCTTTACTAGGTGTGTGTGTGTTTTTTTTTCTTCCAGTTATAAACTTATTGACTTAGTTAAATGTACATTTGAAAGCCAAAGGAATATTCTGTAGTCAGACTTCTGTGTATGGATGTTAATAGTTGTGTTATACGTTAAGTATTTTGTATTCAAACACCACACAAATACAGGACCTTCCTACTGAAAACAAACTATAATTATTAGATATAAATTAACCAGAAATATTAACAAATTATGTCTGACAGATAATGGTGAAGTCAATCACTGTTTTTAGACTTTCAGTTGGAATGTGACTGCTTCACTTGTCAAATAAAATATCAAGTTAAAACTGAAAGGATGTAGGAAATAACTTTGATCAATAATAAAAGAAAAACTTTTGTTTTCTCAGAACAGTGTATTATCTTGAGTTTAGATAAACAAATCAGACACTAGCTAAGAAAAACCCCCACCCCCTTACTAGCTCAGCAGAAATTCTGAGGGCTTATGATTATGGGCAATTTACAGACAGCTCATTGTGTAGCTTTATACTTTACAATAAACAAATCACTGTGAGAATGGGATGTCAGTGAGACCTGATTTATTCTCAAATTGTTAATCAACTGACTATGGGTACAGTCCTTTATATCTGAAATTTACTTTATAGTTAGAAAAAGGTGTGTATGTGTCCAGTTTTATGCATGCCAAGTACAAACACCACAAATTAATATTTTAATGTTCATCCATAGCCAGGTTTATTGTTCTATTCAGTAGCTTTTTCCACAGTTGTTCTCTTTAAATCGTCAGTAAACCAGTTGAAGTTTTCTTATTGTAAGATCTTTTTAAGTCACTTTTCTTTCTCTTTCCGGTCTCCTTTTGATATTTTTATCATCCATACTTACTAATGCTTGTAGGTCATTGTTTCATGTTTTTTAGCAATTTTACAAATGTTTTTGGTAACATAAAATTTTGGATACCTTGTGTATCTCTTGTTAAAGATAATTTTCTTGTTTGTTTTATTAAGTTCCAAATTTCTGTCCCACAGATAGTTATGTGGTTATAAGGATGCTGCCCTTAGTAATCAGTATATGAACTTAGTAATATATGATTTGAATGTGTGTGTGTGTATACATCTGTTTCATTGTCAGAACTATCTAGGAGAAAACTGATATTTGTAGTTGTTTTTTTATTGTATTTCTTAGTGACAGTAATACTGAAAAAGGCTCTGCTCTTTTTTAGTTTCCACTTTAAAACAATATAGCAGTTTTTACAATATAGAGTTTGTGGCTGGTGAATTTAGCATTTTGAAATAGCTTGTGGCACACTACATGAATAAACGACTTAATGCCTTGACTTGAAGTTAGGGATATTCATGAGGAAATAATGAACACTTGTTGTTGTTTATTACAGGGTGATGTTTGGATTTGTATGGAAGTGATGGATACCTCCTTGGACAAGTTCTATCCAAAGGTTTACAAGGCAAATAAAACCATCCCAGAAAACATTCTTGGACAAATAGCTTTTGCCGTGAGTTTTTTTTCTTCTTCTTCAATGGGTATTCGTAGTTGTTTGATAGCTTAAAAGATTTTGAAAAAGGCACTCGGACTGGATTCGGTCATGACATTTATGTGATTTATTACAAAACTCAACACTGTAATCTAAAAATGACTTTGAATAAGTTTCCATTCCTTTAATTTTTATGATACTTGTTAATCAGTTTCTTAGCTACCTGAAAGGAAATTGTACAAATTACCATGTAGTGAAGTTTAAAGGATGTTAAATTTACCACTCAATCAGTGCAGTAATTACTTTCAAATTGTATCTTAGCTTTGTAGTATCTTTCAATGTTTCTTTCTTTGTCTTTTATGTTTGGAGTGACTCTCATCTGCTAGGTAAATATTATGATATTGAAAGAGAATCCTCTGACCCAAAAGACCCCTCTAATGGAGCTGGATACGGTGCTGCTAACAAAATAATAAAAACTTATTTTAAGTTTGTGAAGGCTTACAAATCAAAAGTTCATAAGCCTTCAGCCACATTTTGAAAGCAGTAGGCTGTTTTTATGGGAAAGATGACAGAAGAAACTGGAATCAATAATCCAGTTTGACCACAACCAGTCGGTCCGTTTAAGTTCCAAGGAAACTTTGTTGATGTGTTGTCCAAGGTTGATCTCTGTGTCCTTCTAAGAAGTATGTTACGATGGAAGTCATGGCAATGGTCAATGTGTAATAGTAGCCATCAGAACAAGCATGATCAGTGATCGAGAAAGTAGTTAGGGTGATGTTCTTGTTATTAACGTTATGTTCTGTTGTGTATACCAGACCATCTTAAATTTGATATTGATCTCTAACAGTGAATGTTATAAAGTTATCTGAGATGATGAATGCTGTGTATAAGGTTACCCGGCGAGTGTTGTGTACAAGGTTACCCGGTGCACGTGAGATGGTGAAGTTAAGTAAATTCTTTTTGTTGATTTATATTCAGAACTGTTTGATTGCAGGTTGTAAATGCTCTACATTATCTACAAACAAAGTTGAAAGTGATACATCGTGATGTAAAGCCTTCCAACATATTGGTGAACAGAAAAGGACAAGTTAAGATGTGCGATTTTGGAATATCGGGACAGCTGGTTGACTCGGTGGCTAAAACTATTGAGGCTGGCTGTAAGCCTTACATGGCTGTAAGTAGACAAGCTAAAAATTAGTCTTAGAATAAAAGACAAATGAGTTTGTGAGTGTAAGATGCCGACTATCGTTATTTTAACTCCAAATTATGCCATTAAAATCATATCCTTTAAATTCCAATTTTTTATATGTTGTGGGGGGGGTATAATGTGATAGTTATGTGGTTGATGTTGACTAGCTGCCTTCAAAATTATGGTCAACATGTTTCTGAAAATCTGTTAATCATAAATTGTCTTCGTTTTGTACAAGCATTGTTTCTCATCGGCTGTGTTAATCCGTTGTTAATGTGATCATTATAGTGTACATACATTAAATTCTGAAAATCTGTTAATCATAAATTGTCTTCGTTTTGTACAAGCATTGTTTCTCATCGGCTGTGTTAATCCGTTGTTAATGTGATCATTATAGTGTACATACATTAAATTCTGAAAATCTGTTAATCATAAATTGTCTTCGTTTTGTACAAGCATTGTTTCTCATCGGCTGTGTTAATCCGTTGTTAATGTATCATTATAGTGTACATACATTAAATTCTGAAAATCTGTTAATCATAAATTGTCTTCGTTTTGTACAAGCATTGTTTCTCATCGGCTGTGTTAATCCGTTGTTAATGTGATCATTATAGTGTACATACATTAAATTCTGAAAATCTGTTAATCATAAATTGTCTTCGTTTTGTACAAGCATTGTTTCTCATCGGCTGTGTTAATCCGTTGTTAATATGATCATTATAGTGTACATACATTAAATTCTGAAGAAAATGTGTACTAGATATGCTTGGAGTACAGCTTCAGTCACTCGTTTGGAATGATATAGAAGGAAAACAATTATAATTAATGCTGATCAAAATATTAACCCTGAAACTACCAGGAAGTTTTTGTAATTTCTTGTACCACCTGAATCCAATGGACCCAATATTTAATAGAATACAGAAGTGCAAAAAAAATCACGATTATAAAATATTTGTTTATAATTATTTTTATTTGTCTAAACTGGGTTTGTTAAGGCCAGTTTGGTAATTCCAGGGCTTAAAGCATATTCATCCAAACTTGTACTTGAAGTTTGGAAATGACCTAAGTCTGAGCTTGATTAATTTTGATATTGCTTGGATTATCCCTAATGTGGTTGATGTCAAACATGTTTGTTTGGTGTTTTTGTTTCTCTTCAAACTAAGCTAACATTTATGTATTTGATACAGTATAATCATGTAAGAACAAAGAGCAGGCTTAACAGGACTCGTATTTTCCTGTCTTTATAAAATTATTTTTATAGTTACTTTTCAAATTCATGTTTATTTATAACAGCCGGAAAGAATAAACCCAGAGAGTAAAGACTGCGGATATGATATTCGTTCGGACATTTGGAGTTTTGGAATAACAATGGTAAGTTTATAGTAATGTGATTTGAACTCTTGTTTAACAGAAAGTTGTAACAGAAGAAACGGTACTTGGTTGGACACTTCTGTAGACTACTTCGGCCTTAGAAGTTTTTGAACTAGTGTTGAGCGTGGACCTCCATTAAGTCAATTTTGTTTAGTTTTGTAACTCAGATATTGTTAAAACATGGCCATAATTGAGAGTTTGGTATAGAAATGTGTAAGAATGCATCCCCTAGAAGCTGAAGACATTATTCGAAAACTTCTAAAGCAGTTTACAGAGGTCTAGAAATACTCTCAAACTAATGGAACTTGGAGCATCATATGATGAGTCATGACAGTCAAGTATGTGAAACAAGTATTTAAGTGTGATTTTGAAAACTGGGGAAACCAATACTTTTGTGATATATAATATATATAAACACCTTCAAATAGCCATGCTCAAATTTCAACCAACAAATCATTATTTTTATTAAAACATCTGCAGTACAGTATTTTGTAAGGTTTGGCTTGATTGTCATCTGATTATCAAGTTTTTAATCCATCTAAAAGAAATTGGTATTAGTTTTTTTGTCACAGTGAAATTACCATTAACACACTACTGCTAATGATTTAAAAATTTGTCTTCCTACAGTAAGCTTGCTAAGTATTTTTATAATAAATTAAGTTTTGTGAAAATTGTGATAACATATGGATAGTTGATATACTTAAATGAATGTATCTGAATAAAAACAAAACTGTGTAAATTAAGATGCCCAAAGCACAACAGTAGAGTAAGGTTTTCTTTCTATAGATCGAGTTGGCCACAGGAAACTTCCCTTATCCCACCTGGGGCACACCATTTGAGCAGTTAAAACAGGTGGTGAAAGATGACCCACCTCGGCTTCCTCCCGATCAGTTCACCCAAGAATTTGAAGACTTCATTATTCAGTGGTAAGTTTTTTTATAATAGTAAAGTGATAATTTTAATTTATACTCTATTATTTCTTCAGTTGCTTCTTTAACAAATAATTCAACTTTATTATGTAGAAATGTATTTTTACTTGGAACCTCTTTTAGGAAGTAGTTGTTAAAGTTTATTTACATTTGTTCATGTTGTATTAAAATGTGGAGTATAGTAGTTACATGCACATTTTGAACCCAATCCAGTCAATCTAAAATAGTGCTAGAACAAACTTTAAGGTATTTTTTAATACTTAAATTTTGTCTAAAATAACAGACAAAACTACACATGTTTTGTTAAATTTGTGTGTATGTGTACAGGTATATTACATAAAATTATACATGGACAAACTTCAAGGTATTTATTACCTGTACTAATAGGCTAATTTTACATATGTGTGTACAAATATATTATAACAGTGTTAAAGGTACGTTTTGTTAACTGTGTTATTGAATATGTTAATTTTATATATTTATGTAAAAGTATTACTTTCGTCATGAAGTGCACCTGTATTTTACAGAGCCTTGTAATTAAGTATTTTTACTAAAACGTTTGGTTTAATTATTTTGTCAGAGTGTTGACTGCTCTGAGTGGAGTGTGAATTTCTTATTACAATCAAGAATACTTCTGACAATTCCTAAAATCTGTTAAATAAATCTTTTTTTATTTCTTCTTTCTTTCTTTCTTTCTCTTCTTTTTTTTTTAATATCTGTTATTTCCTCTACTTTGACTGACCTTGTAACCCCCCCCTCCCAAAAAAAATTTTTTTTTAAAATCTAAATTACCCTTTCATTCTAGAATGACTTCATAATGTAATGTAAAACTTGATTTGTCTATCCTAAATAGCTTAAATATTGTAACAGTAGACATCTGTTTATACTTACTTTTATTGCACCATGTCTAAACTACTACTCCTGCCATAAAATCTAAAATTACTTGGAGAATGTGCAGCTCGTATTATCCTATCGAATTACGTAACACGCGAGCTACTTCCAAGATGTCTAAACTAATATTCCTGCCATAAAATCTGAAATTACTTGGAGAATGTGCAGCTCGTATTATCCTATCGAATTACATAACACGCGAGCTACTTCCATTTTATGGCAGGAGTATTAGTTTAGACATCTTATAGTTCTTTCTGACATTTAATGTTATATTACTTATAACCAACAGAAAGCCAAAGTTTCAACCTATCAAACGGCATGTTATATTACATTGTTTTTCTGCACAGATAATTTGTTTTGCTTCCAGTTCAAGTTTGATTCCCATGGGAAATATATCAAAGAGCTTAGCCGAATTTCTAACAGCTGTTGTCGCAGTTAGAAAGCCAGAATAACTGATAGTTATGGAACACATTCTGTATGTTATTATTGTGTGTTCTTTGGAGCAGTAGTACCATTAGTATAAAAAAATAGGGTTAAGCGTCATCAACAGCAAAAAGACCCAGGTAAGTACTTTGTTTTCCCATCATTATTATAAAAGTAACTAAAATAGAAACTTTAGGTTAGATATGGTAAAATAAAATTTTGACACGAGCATCTTGGAAGTAGCTCGTGTGTTACGTAATTCGATAGGATAATATGAGCTGCACATCCTCCAAGTAATTTCAGGTCTTCCCTCTTCTTTAATCTATCATCCCCTCTGAGAAATTTGGAAGGTCAATTACTCATTGTAACATAGGTATTGCTTCGGCAAAACAATTTTTATAGTCTTCAATCTTAATCGGTTCCAGAGCCACAAACTACAAAACGAGACCCCACCTGTCACATCCTCTTTTTATAAACATGGCAGGAGATAACAAATGTCAGTTCTCATACTAGGGAAGATTGGAGTTTTATGAATATTTTACTGTGAAATTAAGTACTTGAATAATTATAAGTTTGATTTATGTACTATATTTTTATGCCAAGTTTATTCGTATATGTTGACAGTAAAGTAGTTTAATTAAATTTTGAATGCAACTCTGTGAAAGATTGTGATGTGCACTTTGACCTAACTGATGTGAAAGGGTTGAAAAAATTTATAACTTCTGTCTTTTCAAAACTTTTTTCTTCTCAATAACCATTTTTTTTTCAAGTTAGTATTGCATAACTGTTTTAGTTTAACATTATGATAGCTTTGGTGTTGTATCTTAGTTTTTTTATATATATATATATTTTTTACTGTGTAGTTGTATTTTTTTTTTTTATTGTAAATCTACTTGACTTGTTAAAATGAAGTTTTTCTGTGTACCAAGATTAGAATAAACAGCTCACGTTATTAATTCTCTCTGGACTAGTGTGAACTTTTCAGGTGTGGAGTGCACATCAAATTTCTACAGTTTTTTGTCAAAAACATTTTAAAATTTGTTTAGTGTAATTTGCAAAGAATATTCAAAATTACATTTCTGCACAGATATGACAAGTCTCGTCTGTAAACAGTGCATTTAGAATTTTCTGCCCATTCCAGAGCAAAAATTTGTATTTGTTAAGAATTTATTATCCCTTAAAAATATAACTTAAGGTTTTGTTTGACTTGTTTTTCTTTTCTTTATCTAACTTTATTAGTTCAGTGTTTTGTTTACACCCTTAAATCAGTGGTTTGAAAAAAAAATTAATAAAACAAAGTTTAAATACCATTAGATGGAGAACGTTTAATAAATTTGTAAATCAAAAGAATACTTTTTTCTTTTTTTAGTCTTCAGAAGGACTACAAGAAAAGGCCTAACTATAACAAACTTTTGAAACATCCGTTCGTGGTAACACATTCTCACCTAGATGCTTCTATAGCCGAATACGTGACTGAAATCCTCGACTCTCACCCGGATCCTCCAACGGAAGATAAGTGATCAACGGAATGGTACCAAGTTCTGTTTAGTCATCTAACAAGCCCAGCAACTAAAAGCATGTCCACCTAGACCCAAGTATCACTTGTTTCAACTATAATACCAAATAATTTGGATGCAGCTGTAAAGAGTTCAATTTCTTATAATGCATGAAACATTTTTTTTTTTCTGTTTCCCGGTAAACATGTTAAAATAATTCTTACAGAGAGTAAAGCAGTTTCATGTAAGTATTGTTGCACGGCCAAACGGTTATTTTATGTTATTAAATACAATTATGGAAATCTGTACTGTTTGTAACTGATAGTACAAGAATATCGTATTTAGATGCTTAATCTTTTCCCTGGTGGTGTTATTTTAAAGTTTAATTTTTTAGTCTTAACTAGTTTTATCTGTATATTTGGTATCCATTTTTTTTTCCAAATGCTGCCTGCAAAGTTTGGTTTATTTTTGTTGTTAAAATTATTTTTCTTTTTAAACAAATATAACTAGTTAAAAGTTTTATTACTGGAGTTATTGAATTTTTCTTCACTGTTTTCACAGGTGAACATGATTGATCTTGCCTGAAAATTACCTATCAAAATTACATCTTAAAGTTTAAAATATATTTTTTGTGAAGTTTCTGAAATTCTTCAAATTCCAGGTTACCCACATTTTTTTTTTTTTGGTTCAGAAATATACAAGGTTTCATGAAAAATACTTTTGTTGTATGAAGTAAGATTAATTTTTGAACTCGCACGTGAGCAGTAAACGGATACCGTAATCTTAAGTTGACATTAGTCGAGCTAAGTACTTAATGTACAACTGACTGGGTGTTATTCCCCCCCCCCCCTCCAAACATTCCTTACAAGTATGAAGTAACTAACATTATTACTTATCTATAATTGATTTACAGTTCTAGGTATTTTTAGTTCCAAATAGTTTATTGTGTTTGTCTCTTTATTTCAGAATGTTCCATTCTCATTGTAATTCTTGCATGTAAAAGTAGTCTGTAACACTAGGCTAAAATAAATTTAGTAAATTACTTTTCAGAACTTTCATCAGTTTCACTAGCATTATTTAACTGCTCTTCTATCGTCAGCCACCAACTACAAATGTGTACTAATATCCTAGCTAGTGTCGTCAGCCACCAACTACAAATGTGTACTAATATCCTAGCTAGTGTCGTCAGCCACCAACTTCAAATATGTGTACTAGTATCCTAGCTAGTGTTGTCAGCCACCAACTACAAATGTGTACTAATATCCTAGCTAGTGTCGTCAGCCACCAACTACAAATGTGTACTAATATCCTAGCTTGTGTAGTCAGCCACCAACTTCAAATGTGTGTACTAGTATCCTAGCTAGTGTTGTCAGCCACCAACTTCAAACGTGTGTTCTTGGAGATCAAGATTTTGCTGGTACATCAACAAAGTTTTTATTTCTTGGACTTGAATGGCTAAAATATGAGTGTAAAATGATAGCAAGTTTCTGAATAGTTGTGTTTTTACAAGTATTACATTTTAACCATCACTGCTGGATGAAATCGTAAACTGAAGATTATTTAATTTATCCTTTGATAACTGTGGACGTCGAAGCTCTTGTCAAATGTCATTCTTTTCATTGGTAAGTAACACCTTTAGTGACGTCCATCTTGCTTCTTTACATAAAATAGGTTCTTTGGACCACTTACGCCCTCTTAGTTTTCCAGTAAAAAATGTTTTTTAACAACACACAAGATACTTTTTCACATTATACACTAAACTTTCTTTAAAAGACTGTGTAGTTTCACTGATACAATGTTTTCACCACTTTTCTTTTTGTTGTTACACATAGTTCACGTCATACATTATTATAAATTGTTTTTCTTCCAGATATATTTCGGCTTTACTAAAGCTCCAGATAGTCTGACAAAAACATTAGTATCTTATAATAATAAATTTGTGCAGTGTGTTTTCCCATTTATCGAGCCTGTTATTACAATAACCTTTATAAATCACTTCCAACATTGACTTCGTTAACTGGCTCTTTACACAGCTTTGCATTTAATATGTGAAAAAACTAAGTGAATACTAGCTTGATGTTGCATTATTTTATAGAAATCTGACTTTATGAAAAACAGTTAGTTTCCTGTTAGTCCCAGAACATAACTTATTTTTTTGTTCCAGTCTAAGAATAATAACCTCAGGAGGAAATTTTCAAAATACTTGTGTAGCAGACTTAACTGCCGTGTAGAGTAACAAGAATAGGAAATCCCTTTATCTTGCCAATGTTCATCTAAATCATAGACTTGTCAACAATCTTGATGTGTTACATTTACTTGCTACTGGTTTTAGTCAATATAGTTTATACTTTTCACTTTGCATAAGATTTTAAAAACATAGAAAAATTCAGAGTAAAGTTGTGAAAATTAGAATCTGTGGGCAACCTGGAATTTTGTGAGCATCTGGTTTTCCATAATTTGTAAATCTCTGAATTTGTAGATGTTTTAGAGAATTTCAGGATTTGAGTTGATAACAAAAATTGGGGTAATTATCTGATTTTATAAAACTTCCTTTTAACAGTAACTGAAGATTTAGTAATTTGATAGAACTGTATAACAATTACATTTTAAAAATTCTAAGATATACCTTCTAAGGAAAGAAGCGTGTGGCTTCGTCTAATAAAAATTGTGTTGTTGACTGCTTGCTGAATTAACGTACTCTTCCGTAGCATTCAGTTTCTCTTTCGTTGATACTAGTTTTTTAATAATGTTGGTGTGCATAATACAAAGTGTTCAACTGTAGAAAGTACTACATCAGTATTTCATAATGTTTGTGCTGTGTTGAACATTTTAACATGATGGCTTGGACAGAGACTTGAGTAACACTACAGTAGAGACAGTGAGGGGGTAAAATACTTGGTTACTGTCAACATTTTAACATGATGGCTTGGACAGAGACTTGAGTAACATTACAGTAGACAGTGAGGGGGTAAAATACTTGGTTACTGTCAACATTTTAACATGATGGCTTGGACAGAGACTTGAGTAACGCTACAGTAGAGACAGTGAGGGGGTAAAATACTTGGTTACTGTCAACATTTTAACATGATGGCTTGGACAGAGACTTGAGTAACGCTACAGTAGAGACAGTGAGGGGGGTAAAATACTTGGTTACTAGCATTTTATTTTGTTGACAAGCACAAAAACATTTGAATCGTAGTATAAAAATTTGTTGTGTTCTACTAATAAAAGTTAGCATCAAATTGTGTTCTTGGCACATCACTGATAGGAAAAGTACGAAAAAGTAATTTATAATAAAAAAAAAAAAAACTACGTTACATAATGGTATCTTCACTACATAAAGGAATTTAATGTTGGAAGTCTGCCGGAGAAACGGTACCAACTATATTTTATGTTAACCAGCTTTCAGCATACTGTTTATCCGAGTTCATAGTAATTATCAAACATGGCTTGTTTATCTACCACACTGTAAATAGGATATGTTTCTGTTTGATATAATGGACTGTCAAAGTCCAATTCAAAGTATATATATATGTGTATTTGTGGATGGCCACCATTTTTAATAACCATCTGAGGCCTTTGTCCATCTTTGTTAACATCTCGATAACCAGTTAAGACGGTAACAGTCGTAGTGATGTCCCCCCCCCCCACAACAATATTAACATTATTGGAAATACAGTAGTTCACAGTAGCTGTTTTGATTTTATTAAACGTTTCAGCCCTACCAATGTTTAGAAATTTTGACATAGTTCTTATCTGTAAAACAAAAGTATGACAGTTTATAACACAAGGCTAAACTACAACATGAAAACTGTGTTGACAATGACAACTGGTACTACTGTTCTACTCTGCTGTATGTTTGTGATTCACTAGCCGTTGTATCTAGAGACATATATTTCAACTCCTGCTTGAATTGAGATTCGTATGGGGTAACTTAAGGTAGTATTAACATATACCTCTTCTATCAATTTAATGTAGACTGTTTAATTGATTTATGGTTTAATAAATCATTCTACTTGAGTGTGGGTTTAAAAGGACCGTATTCAATCCGAGGTTTATTGTGAAGCTAAATCCCTCTAATGATTAAAAACTAAATTCTTGGCCGTATATATATATTTTCAAGTGAACTTGTGAAGGAGGTTCCACTATTTTTCTTTTAACTGCCATAATCGTGATAAGTTGTAGTACAGGATTTCTGTCGTATTATAGGGTGATTCAATCACGATATCTTGTTGATTTGTAGATTACTTGAAGTGCTTAGCTGTACTTCTTCTAGAGCACTAATTTAGAGATCTAAATACGAAGTTCCCAAGTTTATTGAAATGATTATTTGTTGATTATGATACTTCAAGTTGTTGTCAGTTTAAAGAAAATAAATTTTGTGGAAAATGTTTGGGTATTGACTTTCTAATTTACACCTCGTATCACATTCGGCATTTGATGTTTTCACCAAGTTTACATTGTTTGTATTCAGATCTTAGCTGTAGTATACAGGATCCAGTGGCTGAGATTTCTTAATCCACAATATAAACAATGTCTGGGGGTGGGGTATTCAATTGTTGAATAAAGTGAATCAGTTATAACTTTAGTTACATAACTCTCCTATAATAATAAGTTGAAAGGTTTAATAAACTGTTGCTAACACACTTCAAAACTCAATTGCCAGTATCAAGGAAAATTACTTGGGTTTAATATGAAACAGCCACTTAATCACTACAAGCTTGGTTAAGACAGACGATAAGAATTGGTAGAGTTACAAATGGATTCAAGATGAAACCAATCGTTTTGTAAATATTTTTTTAATCTATATTATGCATCAAGTTTCTTTTTGGTGTATAAGAATTCTGTTAATTAGTGCTAGGTTTTTCCATGTATATTACACAGAAAAAATCTAGAGCAAACAATGACAGATTTAACCTTGTAAGTTCTGATAGCGAAGTTTAATTGTTCCCTCGTCAAACATTGCTGTATAATCATAATTCCACAGATCTCTGTTCCCTTGGTGGCACAAAGTCTGTGTTGTGGGTTTAGCCTTGTAAGTTCTGATAGCGAAGTTTAATTGTTCCCTCGTCAAACATTGCTGTATAATAATACTTCCATAAATCTCTGTTCCCTTGGTGGCACAAAGTCTGTGTTGTGGGTGGGGAGATTAACGTGGACCTCACTCTGAGTGAAAGGTACGTTAACATATTGGTGATTTGAGGGTTAATGAACACGTGTTTGGTGAGAATAAAATATACTCTATTTTATAATTCTGGTTATTAATAACATTTATAATGTCTTTGTTTCATTTCATTGCTCATACTTAGAATGTGCTATTTAATATCAAATCTACTCTGAGATCCTGAAATATTAGTTAGATGCGAAGGATCAAAATACTATATTTATGTTCAGTTTCTTTACTGCCACAACAACTAAGATTAGGTTTGCTGTCAATTTTTAATAATTTTTGTTCACTGCAAACAATATTGGGTCTTTTGGCAAACCTCTATAATTGCTCAGTGTGTGTGTGTAATACCCATAAGTCTGTTTTTTGACCTGCAATAAGTTTACTTACAGAAAAATAATTTTCTCTTCATTTAAAATGTAAAAGTTCAATCACACAGCAGACGTTTATTGTGGCCTCTATTCTTGGCTGTAGCCGTCAAACACACGGCAGACATTTATTGTGGCCGCTGTTCTTGGCTGTAGCCGTCAAACACGCGGCAGACATTTATTGTGGCCGCTGTTCTTGGCTGTAGCCGTCAAACACGCGGCAGACATTTATTGTGGCCGCTGTTCTTGGCTGTAGCCATCAAACACGCGGCAGACATTTATTGTGGCCGCTGTTCTTGGCTGTAGCCGTCAAACACGCGGCAGGCATTTATTGTGGCCGCTTTTCTTGGCTGTAGCCGTCAAACACACGGTAGACATTTATTGTGGCAGCATCTTGGTCAGAGAGATTTTACTAAAATTAACCTCTAACTTGTTCAAATTAGCCTTTTACGTTAGAGACTGGCAGCAGCTTACACGGTTGGGAAGCCCGCAATGTGTTAACAGAAAAAAAGCATACGTTTACTGTTCACTGTCAAAGCATATAAATTTATCCAAGATTTATAGTAGCCACACAGGTAACGTTATCACAACAGCGAAAGGTATACATAGGTTTTAACAGGAGAAAGGAGTGAAAAAATCTACACAAAAACCAAAATCTTTGGTGTTTAAGTAATCATCTCATAATAAGAAATTCCTTAATATTTTCAACTCAACATCTGGTCATATAATTCACAATTTTTTCTTCTGACCATCATCCTTGATAAATGCACACAAAGACTACACCTAGAGAAAAATAACTTATCCACAGATATTTAAAGTACGTGTATACTTTATGAAACATCTTTTACGTGAGTTTGAATTTATTTTTCTAGTACATTATATGGCATTAGTGGGAGGAAAACCAAGCTTCCAAGAACTGTGATTTGGTGGCACATCAAGAGAGGTTTCTTTACAAGACTGAACCTAATACTCGCTGTGGAAGCAGTAGTTATATCATGAACTATACATGTTGGTGCAGTTTAATGGAAAGCTTTTATATGCTAAAAAATAGTTGTACACACTACAGGGCAAATATTGAAAAAAAATTAACAATATTACAGTGGTAGAGTTAATCAATATAGAAATCTTTCCTGTGTAGCACCAAAATTATGGTCAGAAAGAAAAACATTATTATGTTTGACTTGAACAGGACCCATCTGATTTAGTGAACATGTACATCTGTAAACATTTCGAAAGGCACAACATGTTATTTTGATCTGATTTGGAAAAGATTTAAATAAGTAACTGACATTGTATAAATCATATTGACTGATACATTTGTGCATATTTTACTTTTTTACGAACATTAACTTTCTGAAACCCACACCACAATTCAACGACTAACGAGATAGTTGTTTTTACTCGGGAAAAGTAACAATTTAAAATATCCTTCCTACCAATCTCTTGACTGTCACTAACCTTTCATGTGCTCTAGTGTTTATCCTAGTCACCTGTACATGTAACACGTTAAAACCCTCAGACAAGCTGAGAGTTACTGTTAGAACTCGTGTAACAACGTAGCTCTCCGAAGCACAGAAAGAGACGTCCGTGTAGGTTGGTCAATCCCTTACTCAGTTATTGACATAATGGACACTTTATATCTTGAACTAACACTTACCCTTTCTTTTTTTTTTATCAAATGTTTTTCTCTCAAAAAAATTACTGCCAGCATAACCTGATTTTGTGTTCCTGTTTTCTTCACATGAACATCTTTCCAGTACTATGTCCTAGAATTCTAAGTATATTTATGAAATTGAACTTGTTAAAAATAGCAACAGAATCATGGATCACTGATTCAATACAGCTAACCAAATGTTAAACCCATGAAGACAAACAGTTAGTGACTTTTAACATATTTTATTTGATAGCCTGTCCAGTTTATATATGTATGCAAGTAGTAAAACTAACAACTTACACTCGTCCACATGGCTACTATCTTTAACAACAATTAATTAGCTTCATGAAACACATGTACACGTACCTTTCCAATACAACAAGCCCTTGAAAGAAGGTTAAAACTAAAAGGTAAGATTCAAATACTTCTACAGGATGTTATGTCCCAGTAAGAACCACATGTACACGTACCTTTCCAATACAACAAGCCCATGAAAGAAGGTTAAAACTAAAAGGTAAGATTCAAATACTTCTACAGAATGTTACGACCCAGTAAGAACCACATGTACACGTACCTTTCCAATACAACAAGCCCTTGAAAAAAGGTTAAAACTAAAAGATACGATTCAAATATTTCTACAGAATGTTACGTCCCAGTAAGAACCACATGTACACGTACCTTTCCAATACAACAAGCCCTTGAAAAAAGGTTAAAACTAAAAGATACAATTCAAATACTTCTACAGAATGTTACGTCCCAGTAAGAACCACGATATAAGAAACAGAAGATGACACTGAATGTTAAAACGTAATTTACGTGATTCACTGAATACTAGATGACTGGAAGCTGTTACCACAAAATACAAGTAAAGTAAATCTATGAATAAAAATACATACAAAATCTGCCTTCCTGAGTAGGAGCTGACATTACTCCCCTGGAATAGTTCTAGTAACTGCACTGGTTTGTCAGCTAAATATCTTCCCTCAAGAAAGATATGATCCTTTTAAACTTAGTTACGCATAATAGTATAAGTTATAGTTACAGAGAAAATAATTACTGGACATCTAATTATCCCTTAACAAACAGATCATCATGGAAGTTGAAGAGAAAGTTAGTTACAACTATTATTTGCAGTACCGCTTCCAGGGTCTCATGTCATCAAGTTTTCCTGACTACTAACGAGAGACTAAAATAACGCAATACCAACGAAGAGCCAGTTCCAGCATATTTTTTTACGTTATTATACTAAAGATTGAAATAATAACGTATGGTTTTAGTTCTGATATGTATTAATTTAATGAAGCCATAATAAAGAAACCCACAAAAGGGCTGTCTTCCTTTAGCCTAATTCACTCTAAAGCTTGTAACACATTAACCAGCGAGTTAACATGTCGATAGTTCAATTGACTGATCATTCTGTCTGTAGCTAACAGCAAAAATAAATAAAACCTGCATTAATATATCAAGCAATGTTTAAAACACACAACAAGGAACAGTTTTTGTACATACACATCAAGAAACTGTTAGAACAGAATAGTCTCGGTAGTTAAATAGTGCAGAATTTCAACTGAGTTTCCTAACTTTCATACAACTGTAAGATTATGTCAATTTCTAGAACTATTTAATACACAAAAAACTATATCAAATGAAGGATTTTGTGTCGTAATTCCCCAAGAATTTACCCGTGAGAATTTGTTTGCAATTATTATTGACATCTGTTCAGACCAACTTACCTTTTTAAAGTGAAACTAAAAATCAACCTGATAAAGAATTTAGCTAATTAAGCATATTTTTTTTCTTTTGTTCTTCCTTATAAATAATAGAATGTATTATTTCATCAGTTCAATACCCACCCTGGTAACAATATTAGAAGCACTCACCAAATTAACTGTAAACTTATATTAAAAAGCATTATTAGAATCTGTAATGGGCCAGCTAAGTACGATGTGTAAAGCTTCCAAACAAATCATGTCACTTTACTGCATTTTCTATTCTCTCAATAGTTGTGTTCAAAAAATAAGAGCACCACAAAAAGTGACCACCATGATTTTGTATTGCTTCGTCACAAGTTAAACACAACTTAGGCCTTTCACAGTAATGATTATAAACTTAAAATTTACTGTTCTAAAAAACACACAATGTTTCACACAATTAAGGTGCTGATGGTTAGAAAGGTTTCTAGCTTAATTTTCTAGGTACATAGGTGAAAACAATTGATTCCAAAGCACACGATCCTTGTAGATTTTAAACTGGTACTTTTTAACATCAGTTTTTTAAAATTGTGCATTTTAAGACAATATAACTGAATTTATAGCTCTTGATATTATGACTTATCTTAATTTTGTACGAATTTGTAGAGAATTAAAGTAATTCATTATAAATACATGAAAAATTAACACACGTGTTATACAAGAATCTGTCAGAAACATAAGTCATATGAAAAATTAACACACGTGTTATACAAGAATCTGTCAGAAACATAAGTCATATATAACTTAATAGTTACTGTTCATAATCCGAGAAACATCAACAGTTTTTACTTTATCTCAAAGTTCGTTTTACTAGAAAAAAAAAACTGCCTGAAGAGTGGGGGTAGTGAACAAAAGGCCTCTTCGGCATTGGATAGAGCAGATATGGTGACATACACCTGGAAGTTATTATTGGTGATACTTTTGACTAGTTTACCAAATTCCATGTACTCATATAAAGGTTTCAGGTTACTTCTAATTTTACTTTATCTTGTATAAACACTGTTTTTAACGTACACAACAACACTGTCACCACACAGATGTGATCTTAGTTTTCATGCAAAATTATAGGTTTATCACATTATAACTTACAACTGTAGAATGATGAGAAGAATCGAAAGAACCTAAGACTAAGCAATAGCAAAGCGCTACTGAACTTTGAGTCTTAATTTAGGTAACTGACATTTTTTAAACTTTCATGCTATACTGTGTAGTTTATGAAAACAAAGAACACTATAAGCTGTACAAAAAATTTGGGGAACGATGTAAAAATTCAACAATAACGACAGGAATAAAGCCACAACAGAAACATAAATTTATAAGCTATGCAATAAAATTTGCACAGCGTGTTTCGATCGATCCAGATAAGTTAACCATGGCTGATAATGAGACAATAATTTGGAAATCAAGGTTCCATAATACGTGTAAAGAGACTAAAACACCGACTTCACTCACGTTCCAAGTAGATGCAGACGCAGTCATAAAAACTTTAAATACAATACAGTCAACTCATTCGAAAACTTTTCCAAAAACAATAGAGTTCTGGAAATTAAACAAACACGTTTTTTTGCTTCAAAAAAAACATAATTAAGAAAACAAATGCCATAGATTGTAACAATAAAACTGCCGTACCCACCACCCGTACTCCCCCGAAAGGTTTGTAGCTAAAAGAATTTTAGTAAATAGCATTATGACTATAAACTTCGAGAAAATGAAACCCAAAACAATTTCATATGCCTTTGAACTACAAAAATATAACGTCAAAATTTTTATGCAAGAATACAAAATGTCAGATGGCAAGAGGATTATTCTTTATCAATTTACTTCAAAAAAAGTTATTAATCTATATAATCAATCTAAAAAATAAGAACTGCCTTTCTTGTCTAGCAAGTTACTACTATAATGTAAATAAATAAAGAATATTTTATAATTCAACAAATAAAAAGTTCACAAAACTATCACTTTATCACTGTTATGTTTTACATGTAGTTATTACTTTAATTTGTGGATATTTCACAAAAGAGTATATCCAAGAAAAAAAATGTACATTGTTCTCAACAGTGTCATAACATGTACAATTTTGAGGAAAGCATAACTGAGTTAAGCCACAATGTACCTTAGATATATCTCATGTTGCGACTTCCAAAAGAAGAACCAAGAAGACAGAGTACAATGTACCTTAGATATATCTGATGTTGCGACTTCCAAAAGAAGAACCAAGAAGACAGAGTACAATGTACCTTAGATATATCTGATGTTGAGACATCCAGAAGAAGAACCAAGAAGACAGCGTACAATGTACCTTAGACTATCTAATACTGAGACTTCCAAAAGAAGAACCACCAGAACAGAGTACAATGTACCTTAGACTATCTAATATTGAGACTCTCAAAAGAAGAACCACCAGGACAGAGTACAATGTACCTTAAACTATCTAATATTGAGACTTCCAAAAGAAGAACCACCAGGACAGAGTACAATGTACCTTAAACTATCTAATGTTGAGACTTCCAAAAGAAGAACCACCAGGACAGAGTACAATGTACCTTAGATATCTAATGTTGAGACTTCCAAAAGAAGAACCACCAGGACAGAGTACAATGTACCTTAGACCATCTAATGTTGAGACATCCAGAAGAAGAAC